TGGGGGCGCCGCTCCCCACCCTGCGGTCGCTCCCCTCGCCAGCCGCGCCGCTCCCTGGGCCCTGCAGCCCCGGCGGGCCAAGGCCACAGCATCACCAGAGCCTCCCCGGAGGTTTTGGCCACGCCAGCACGAGCTCCGGATCCATCCTGGCTGCCAGGGAGGAGTGGAAAGGCGACCCCAGGGCCACCAAGCCCAGGGCCACCGACCCCCTCAGGAACCACAAGCCCAGGAAAGAAACCCAAAGTGAGCCCTTCCTCCCCCCTCATTTCACCCGCTCTCATGAGCTCCGGTTAACAGGCTCATGCTTTTCCAGCTGGTGTCCACTGCGCGCGTGTCCCAGCCCTGCTGGTCCCAGGGCATCTCCTCGAGCTGTTTCCGCATGCACCGCGTGGCAGGGAGAGCCACAGGCCGTGGCACAGGAGACGAGGTCGACGGGACCAGGGACGCAGGCGGCACTGGGGGATGATGCCCCGGGAACTCCCACCTGCAAAGGCAGCAGTCCTTGGACCCATGGCCGGATCCACACACACGTGTGAGCACGCACGCGCCCCGTGCTCACACCCGCGCTCTCCCTTGGCTCTCCAGCTCTTTCCAGCCCTGCTGATGCTGCCGTTTCCTACCATCACAAGGGAAGCCCGTGACCTTTTGTCTCCTCCCCGCCTGACATGAAACAATAATGTTTATTTGCCTTCCTCTGTTTTTTCCCATTAGCTCATCCAAATGTGCGAAGAGCCGTTTCAAGCTGCTCCTCCACTCCCCTGACCTCCGCTCCCTTTCCACCCGCTCAGTTCTGAGCCAGGGGGATGGCAGGGAGAGAGCCCTGCACAGGGGCACCACCGCCCGGACCCCCGTACCGACACTGGCCAGCCACGACCCCGGGGAGATAGACCCTGGTGCGGGGCTCAGAGCCCGTGTAAACGGCAGCACCAGCGGCAACTGAGGGACCGGCACTAATTTACACCACTGTTCCCGTGCCAAGAGCTGGGCCCCTTGGCCGGGCCCGGCGTGATGCTGCCGTGGGGAGCGTGCCTGCGGAGAGTCTGCAAAGCCTCCGTCATGAAGCCATTAGCAGCAGGGGCACTATCGAACGCCCTCGTTGGCGGCGGGCGCGGAGGGGAGGGGGCCGCAGCAGCCCGGGGGCCGGCACTCATCAACCACAAAGGCAAATAAATCAGTGGCCAATGGCTCATGCGAGGATGGCCAGAAAGCTGTGCTGCCGGGGAGCCGAGTGGCGGGGCGGGGGGGCACAGGGTCCGACCCGCCTGTTCAGGTCCTGGTGACACAGGGGCTGCTCCTGCCCTGCCCCATGGTGCTGGGTGCCTCCACCCCGCAGCCAGCTACATCGCCTCAGCGCTCAGTCCCGCTCCTTCCCTCTCCGTGAGCCATGCCTTCCTCACACTCCTGCTGCCTGCGCAGCCCCATGCAACGCTGCTGCCCTGGGAGGAGACGGGGACAGGGGGGAAATGGGGGGCAGCGGGAGGAGGAGATGGCAGCCCCAGGCTCCCAAAAACGCAGGATGCATTAGAGCAAGCGGAGCTGCCTGATTGATTCTTCGGGCTGAGACGTGGGCTGGGAGTGCCAGGAGAAAATGGATCCCATGAATATTTGATGAACAGAGGCTTGGGGAGGGAGTTTGATTGGAAAATTACAGATCTTTCAAACAATGGTTCAAGTGCCCTCCAAACACTTGGGTTTCCAGTTCCCTTCCAGTTAGAGGGGCAAGGCTCCACCAGGCAACTCCCCCACGATTTATGAATGAGAGTGGAGCCGGCCTCTCCCCATGCCCAGGAGCACCGACCAGATGGGACAAGCAGCCCCAGCGCTGGCCCCGGACACGGCACCCGGCACCCCGGCACCTCAGGGTGGCCCCAGCTGCGTCACTTGGTCCCTGGGTTCCTGTTCACATGAGGCAGCATGGCTTTCCCATACCAATGCCATGAACACAAGCACACGCGAGGCTCCAAGGAGCCAGCAGGAACGTGGCTCCTGCCCGGACTCCTGGCAGGGGCACCCCTCTAAGCCCCAGGCACCTGCAGGGAGCTCAGTCCTCAGCGCCGAGCCAAGGGGCTGGGCTCAGCCCATGTCCAGCCATGCTCCACCAGGAAACACCTGGCTGGGGCAGGATTCACCCCGGCTCCTCTCTCTCCTCCCGGGCTGCTGCAGGGCTCATCCTTGCCCCCAAAAGCGGCTTCTGTCTGGGGCCCGGGGGCTCGCTTGCCTCCGGATGGAGTAAAGACAGACTCGGGAAACCAGGCTCCTGCGCGTGCTTCTACCTCCAGCCCCGAGCTCTGCGCCTCCACCTGACCCTGCCCCAGTGCACGTTGCCTCCCCAGCTTTCCTCCCAGCCCTTCCTCACTGCCACCACCTCCACCACTGGAGACCGGCCCACGCCACGGCCCAGCCGAGCCCCGGCACAGCTCCTGGCATGGCGCAGACTCTGTGAACCACCGACGCTGCGTGGGGAAAGGGACTGTTTCTGGCCAGGAAGCGGGAACGCCAACACCAGCAGCTTCCCAGGAAACCTGCTCCGGTTCCTGCCCAGCCACGCAGGTCCGGCTGAGAGGCCCCGTCCTGCGGCGGTGGCCAAACTCTGAACCCCGAGACCCACCAGCCCTGAGCAGGGCTGGGGTGCCATTGTGCGGCCATCTGTGGTGGAGCTTTATGGCTTCCTCTGGGAGAGCTGGGAAGGGCGATGGTGCCGTCACCTCGGCTGTGCACAGGGACAGCGATGGACTCGACACCCTCTGGCTTGCCTGCAGCCGGCTGGGAGGCAGCGACGGTCCAGCCTGGGGAGCATCAGCTGGGTTTTGCTTTTCCCTGGAGGCAGGCGGAGAGCAGGGTCCTGAGTCCCTTCCCAAAGGGCTCCCAGGTTATTCCTCAGGCAGAAATCTCCCTCCTTTCCCTGGGTGCGACTGTCGGCTTTGGATCAGGGATGGGCAGGGTCAGGAGGGCAGGACCACGAGAGCCCCCGCTCCAAGGAGACCCCAGAGCCGGAGGGGAGAGCAGTGACCCACTGAGACAAACTGCCGGAGCAGCCAGACATGGAGATGCAAAATCTCCAGCTGCCCAAGAGCATCAATGGCAGCGGGAGCAGAGGACAGACGAGCAGCCCCGACGGGGCCAGCGCAGCCTTTACGAGAGCTGGAAGCTTTCAGCCAAACCTCCCCGGGCACCAGTGCCTCATGGCAGCCAGAACCCTCCTCCAGCCGCTGCCAGTGCCAAGGCAAAGCAGGAGCCAAAGCAAGGCCAGCAGCATGCTCCCCAGCACCCGTTATCTGCCACAGAGCCAGGCCGATGTCAGGGGAGCACCTGGCTGTGTTCCCACCCGCCCCGGGACTCTCTTAAACCTCCAGCTCCACGACCAGGCTCTGGATTTGAGGAAGGCAGGACTGACCCAGTGAGACCCGGGGCAGGGGCACCGGAGCTGCAGGTCACCCCGTAAACCCAGACCACCCAGAGGAGCACGTTTGGGCATTTTAATCACCAATGACTTTTGCACGTTTATTCCTGCCTGAAAGCTCAGGAGCCTCCTCCCGAAGAGCTGCAGCTGGCTGAGCAGCCGGAGGGGCTGCACCAGCGCTGCCCACGCAGAAGCCATGTGTGCCCCTGTTTTGCTTTTTGTCTGTGCCCTGCGCCCGCAGACAGGACTACGGGGTGCTCCCACAGCTCGGTGGGGCGAGCTCCCGCCCTGGGTCACTCGCGGGGTTTCACTCAAAAGGAAGATCCATCAGCAGGTCCAGCATAGGGAGCTGGCGGGAGGGAAGCCCCCGTGCCCCTCCATGGGCTCCTCAGCCCTTGCCAGGAGCATCCGTCCGAAGCTTCGGCCGCCGGGGGGAGAGCGGCAGAGAGAGTGGGGTGAAAGGCAGCATGCGCGGCCCGGGGGCAGGAGCCACCATCCTGCCCAGCACCGTCCCCCACTTCAATGCCAGCCCTTGACGCCTCTGCCCCGGGAGACCCCGCGCCTGGTCCCTGCAGCTCCTCCACCCACTCCCCAGGGCACATCGCACCCCTCAGTTCTGCCCTTTCCTTTGCTGCCTTTTGGCAAATCATGCACACATTTTCCTCCCCAAAGGGGCACTTTTCTGAAGGGATCGACGCACCGAGGAGCTGCCCAAAGCCGCAGACCTGCCTTGGCGAGCTCTCGCACCGCAAAGCCTCCGGCCCCTCCAGCAACAAGGGGAGCTGCTCTGCTTCCCCAGCCCCGCAGACGCTGCGCCCCGGCCTCTGAAATGTTCCCAGGCCCCCGCCGGTGCCTCCCACACGGCTCTCAGCCCTAAGACAGCTAGAGCCCACCCCGACCCCAGGAAACTACCATCCCGTCCCTCGCCAGCACACCACAGCTCCATGGGGCTCCCCAGGTGGGAGGCAGACGGCGGCGAGTGGGACCTGTTGAGCACCCGTCATCTCGCTAGCGGGTGGCCAGTTAATCGGTGCAAGGCGCGGTGCCTGCGAGGAGCAGAGCGTAGCTGACCCCGGGCTGGCTGGCTGGCTGGATGCCCCCGGGGAAGCCCCCAGTGCCAAACCCAGGAGATGCTGGGGGGGACTCTTGTTTGCCACGGTGGGGACCAGAGCCACAGGAGGGAAGGAAAGGCCTGGGTGAGACAGGGCCAGCCCAGCTGGCTGCTGTCACTGGTACCCAGCGTGTTGAGCAGCCGACCAGCCCCATGCCCTCCCAGCACCAGCACGCTGCAGGCAGGAGCTGCTGGAGTCCCTGAGGGGCAAAACCAGCACACGGGCAGGATGGGCCCCAGCTACCAGCCTCCCAACGGCCTCCACCTGCTCCCTCCTTCCCCCATCTGCCCGCAAAGCCCCATGCCCGGCTCCGAGCCCGCCTGCAGGCACCGACCGACCGGGCAGGGCCCCACCGCAGCACACAAAGGATAAGGCCGGGGCCGGAGAGAGTCCCTCCAGTGGGACCCAGCACGCAAGGATCCCCCCGTCGCAGCCGGGTCCCTCGGCAGAGGGCTGGGGATGCGTGCGCAGGGAGGGGTCCGCGGCTCACAGCCACCCACTCACCCCCGCCACACACAGCAGCAACAACAGGTTCAAAACACAAAAATAAACGCCCTTTCCACCCCCCTGCTTCCCACACCGCTGCCAGCGGAGACTCGCCCCCAGCAGCCCCCGTGCCTGCTCCGGGGCCTCTGCCACTGCACCCCGAGCTGGTGCCTCGGCCCCCCACAGCAGGGCTGGGACCCGGGGAGGGGCAGCACCTGCTGAGCACAGCATCGGGGGGACATGAGGACCTGGTATTGGGGTCCCAAGCCCCAGCACTGGGGGGTTGTGAGCCCCCGGTATTGGGGTCCTAAGCCCCAGCATCTGGGGGGATGTGAACCCCCAGTTTTAAGGTTGTGAGCCCTGGCATTGGGGGGATGCGAGCCCCCAGCTTTGGGGCCC